ATTTTTTGAAATCTTTGGACCTACTAGAATGGTAATATATATGTATATATACATATATATATATATATATATATATATGCTTGTTTAGTAAGCATGAATTAATTTTTCTAGAGATTTTTTTTCTAGAGACAACTTGAGATTGAAAGAAAATTGTTGGGGACACTTAAGTCCTTAATCCTTATTTTTACTGATTGATGAGGGAGCTCTTGATTAAATTGAATCAATCAATTTTCTTTCTTTTTTTTCTTTACAAAATATGTTTTGATATGAAATTCATGTTTTCTTCTCAAAATATGTTCAGATAATTTTTTTTTTTTCTGAACTGATATGCTTTTCTCTTCTCAAAAAAAAAAGCAGGTGCTCATTACATATTTTTTCTATAATTTTTGGAAATTTTTTTATATTTTTTTCTGTATTTTTTAGAATTTTTCTGTATTTTTTTGTATTTTCTGTATTTTATTATATGTATATTTAGATATTTTTATTTTTTTCATATGTTGTTCTTTTTCCTATATTTTTCTGTGTATTTTTTGTATTTTATTTAAAGTTCTATATTATTTTTTATTATATAAGTATTTTTTGTTTTTTATTTATTTATAACGTTACGGGTCGAACCGCCAAACCGGAAAACGGTGCCCTGACCGGTTCGGTCACCGATTCGGTTTTAAAAACCATGCCTAAAAGTGAACGAGGCCTATATTATCCAATTTCATGCGGTGGCTTTAGCTCCACCTGAAAAGTCTATATTTGGTGAAATGTTCAGAAAATGCAGCTCAGTCAAAGCTTAAGCTCTCCGATTTTTTTTTTTTTTTTTTTTTGAGTAGAATAGGCGACAAGCAATACCGGCAGGGTAGGAAATCAAGGGCATCGAACAAGGAAAAGAGTTTCCTTCACGGGGTCACGGCGCCAAAATGATTTTGATTGATCATGAGGAGGAATGAACATTTGATTTCAACTCCGGATTGCGACTTTCGCGGTGTCTTGAACGGCTTAGCCGGATGCACCATCATTTCAATTCCCTTGTTTGGGCTCGGGAGTTGGGCCCCCTACATTTGAAAAACCAAGTTTTCGATGTCGACGTCCATGTCATCGATTAGATACTGCATAAGAACTAGCGGCGGCAGTTCATGTTCCAAATTTCAATCTTCCTCAAGTCAGGAGACTCGGGGCTTGCTTCACTTTGGGTCGGGTATATTTTGTTGGACATGCCCGGGTCCGTCAACCAAGTCCAAGTGGCCCGCCCACCTAAACAACATCGATCATGTGGGTTCGTGGTGGGCATCCACCAAGTTCCAACCCGGATGGACCCCATTGCCAAATGATGTTGGATGGCCCACAACGTAGACTTATTAGTGAGATCCGCAACCCAAACTGCACTAGATGTATGATTACGCATGCAAAATAAAGAATAATGGTGTGTTTTACCACAATAATGACAGATCAAAGCTTGGAATAATTGGAACTCTCTTTTGACGGGAATAGAACAACCAAAACCCGACAAATTCCGAGCGGTCCACGAGGCAGCCCAGTAAGGGACATATGTATTGGGCCTCCAGATTTTGACGGCAACCACTACGCTTCTAATCTCGCTTCCCAAAGTTAAATAGGGCCATGCTCGCCATTTCCCTTTACAACCCAACAAAAAACGGGTTGTCGGGTTCTTATGGCTCGTTTTTATTCCCTGTTCCGTAGAAAGAGAAAGACAATGACCCACCCACGGCCCACGCCATCTCTTTTGTTTCCTTACAACCCAGACCCAGAGGCCCGGACCTGTGTTTGAATTGAAAATAAATTGTCATTTATCCCTTCCCACAACACTGCAATTCTACAAAATGCATGTTGATTTTCTCTATAAAAAAAAACAAACGAACCAGCTGCCCTCTTGGCTGTTGCACCACACGTTACAAAAAGTCCAACCTGATTTTGGCATTTTTGAGACAGCCCGAACCCCATATCAGGAGTAGGGTAGAAAACTTTGGACGGTTGTGATTATTGGTTTGTGCTCGATCTCTTGTCTTAATAATGAATAAGAGATGCCAATCATGTCAAAACAACAACAATCTCGATGAATTTAAAACAAAATTGTACATCGTGTTTTTACCCGACCCGAAACCCCGAAAAAGGAGCCTGTCGGGTTAATAAATAGAGAAAGAAAAAAACTCTTCTAGGATCTATCTTGTGACACCACATGCAGACGTGGGTTATGATTAATAATTATGAACCCCTGCCCTTCGGATTGGAATCTGAAATTTTTCACGTTTTGAACTGCTTTCACCCGGCCCATTAAGAATCCTATATATGTTTTGTAGCCCCGGCCCACTAAGAGTTCTGCCTATATTTTGCATCTGTTATGATATCGAACCGGACTCGGTGGCAAACAAACATCAGTACATCACTAAGATTTTAAATTATTTATTTATTTTGGATGAAAACATCACTAAGATTGCGACAAAGAAGAAGTTGTACATTCGGTAGTGATCTTCATGTGATGTTGCCATAATAGGACAGCCTTGACATTTGCGCAAATATATTTACTCAGATTAATAGCATTAATTAAGTAAATTTATTTTATATCAAGTTGAATGCACGTGCATAAGAGATGAGTAGAATGGGAAAGGGGAAAATGAATAGATTATATTTTTCTTCAATAATAATAATTCAAAAAAATATATCAGTTTTTTCAAAATGGTGGTTTGGATGTGAAATACCAATTTTTCTCTACTAAAAAAACATATTACATTCTAACCTAAAGCATTTTCAAAGGGGTGCCAATTTAAACCTATCCAAGTTGCACCCCAAAATTTTTCTTTTTCTAATTCTAGAGCTGTTAATAGTGGTGCAACTTGGTTCGGGTTGAATTGGAATTTTGCCAAAATTTCAATGGATTCAAACCCTAAATTGAACCCAATGTAATTGAAATTCTTCAAAGTAGGCAACCCGACTTCCAAACGAGATCAGATCAATTTTATAAAATCAAACACAGAACTAAAATAATTATTAATAGAGATAATTGGATGTGACTCAATTAGACCCCATTATACTTGACATCTATAATTACTTATGATATAACAACTCAAATGTCATTTTTTTATGATATAACTTTATTTGGAAATGGCAGGAAATAGAAATTTATTTTTTATGATGATAAAATAAGTGTTTTTTAATTAAAACTATCTTATATACTCTTTATGAAATTTGCACCTTTAGACATAAAATATAACAAAATTTATAAAATAAAAAAAAAACTATGAAATTTTATATATCATTATGTCTTAATCCGTTTGAAATAATAAGAATAAATTCTGCCCCAATCGTAATCTGAACATAAAACTTAGAAGCAGAACGGATATAATCAATAAAATTTGGTTAAATATGCTAGACCCAATTAACTGACACCTATATTTTTTCAATTTTTTTCCTTTTTCTATATAAATCATTTTCGATTCATTTTCTTTTTTGTTTTCAAAATTGCTTTTCAAGCTTCATGCATGTGAAGGTTGACAAACTTAGCCCTCTTTTGGAGTGGTTGGGTATAATATAAAGCAAACAAAGTAGTTACGGGGATCACCGACCCCTTTCCATTGATAAAATCATCTGAGAAGTACGGAAGCATCCCATGCAGAATTCTGAATTCCAGCCCCCCCTATAAACCATATTCTGTTCACGAATTTGACATCAATTCACGGTCAGGATACATTTTCCCTATATTATAGGACTATAAAATTCTGATATGTGCTGATTGGTCATTCTCCCTAAAATCATTCCCACAATCCTAAGAGGGAATTCCAATTTAACAAGCAAAGAATAAAGCACCCATTAAAATATCCAAACACAGCCTACGCTTTTAAGTATGTATATCCTTCATGTGACCTAGACTACTTTCGGCACAAATTATTATCTCACAGTCCCCCACGTCTCCTGTGTAAAGTAGAGTTGGAGTAGGACCGTGGGGAAGGTCAGTCTTGTAATTAAGAAGCAATCACAAGGGTAATTGGGTCCCCAAAACTTTGGGGGGGAGGGGGGGGGGGAGGAATCACTGTTTGGGCGGAGGAAGGAAGACAGCGGCAGTGTTGGGGAGCCATTGTCTTTTTCTGTCCCCTGCCAGCGCACCAGGAAATCAACATTGAGGACAGAATGGTACGAGCTATGTTGACGAAAATACCCTCGATATTTACTAAATTACACAGTTGAATTATCATTCTACACATCCTTAAATGTAAGCTATCCATAAATAGTTGTCCTCCCTCCTGTTATCGATACTTGCTTATATCTCGTACAGTGTTTTAGTCTCTCTGCATCTTTAGATTCTTTACTACATAAATGCCGATGCTTGCCGTGGCTTCACGTCAAGGCGACCAAGATAACGAGGGAGATCAAAACTATCCATAGAGATTGTTTGACCAAGTAGTCTAGTTTTTAATTCTTTTTTATTATAATTGAATTTCAGCATGAAATTGTACTTCAGACCCAATTATTCTAATTAGTAACTAGAACTGATTCTATTTGAAAATAGCATTAAACATTGAATATGACAATGTGTCCTAAATGTTGGTATTTAACATTTTTGATGACCTTGAAAGCCAATATGATATGGTACAATAAATATCAATTGTCATGTATATAACAAAATACGGTAAATTGTCCAAGAGTGTCCTTTTATTTTTTGTGCCCCTGATTAAATGAATGCATCAATCAAGATGAAACAGGGGACCCTCCCAACAATGTGGACCCCATGCATTAGTCAATCACAATGTAGGTTGACAAATACAAAATACAGAAACAAGTACGTATGGGAGCACCCAAGCAAATAGAAGAGAAAGAAATACAAATCTTGATTTGAAATATGCCTGTGGCGAATGGAATTGATCGTCCCTTAAGCCTGCAAAATTATAGGTAGGGAGAGTCACCACTCACCAGAGAGAGAGGGGTACAGGGTATAATCCATTGCTCATAAATTATGTAAGGAATTCAAGGGTATTTTTGACAATTCAACTTTGGCTTGCCTCATTCCTGCTTACAGGCTTACATGTACATGGAGTAGAAAACACTACACCCGCTGCCTCTCTTTTAGCTACACTTGATATCTCCCTTCCTCTCGTTCCTTCGCATTCATGCCCAGCCATTTGACAACAGAGACAAAGGCTCATTGGATTTTCACAACACCCACCATCTCTCTCTCTCTCTCTCTCTCTCTCTCTCTCTCTCTGGTTTACTAAATTCTCCATTTTGATATTGGTCGTCCTTTCCACGAATTAAATCCGACCATTAGATATTCGCCCCTTCATCTTCCACTGCACTTCTCCTTTGCTCTGATAGCTTCTTCAGCCCTCCATCAAATATTCTCTTCTCTGGGGTATTTATGTTCTGTTGTTACTGTTCCGTTCCTTGTTAATGGCTGCTGCAGCTGCTACTCAAAGCTTTCAGAACAGCAACAATGACCACCATCAAGTTAGTAGGCAAGAAATCCAGGTCGCCATTGCCAAAGCTGTAGAGCTCAGAGCTCTTCATGCTGCTTTGATTAAAGGGAACAGCCCTGCAAATCGCAGGTTCCCTAGCTCTGTTTCTCCCTCTCTTTCACGTCCTTCCTCTCAGTTCTCAGCTCATGATTACCCTGTTTTTACTCCGGTGAGTTTTCTCAGTTTCCCTTTTTTGGGTTTTGTTGACTAATTTTTGTCCCATCAATTCCTAAGTTGAGTTGATGTCATCGGTTAATTTAATGTAAATTTCGTTATTGCAAATTTAATATGCTGTAATGCCATTACTGAGTTTTTCATGTAATGGTAGCTTTTAAGGCTTAGGCTTAGAATTGAGTAAAACCTTCTGATAATTAATCTCTTTTATCATGGCGGTCACCAATGTGTGTTTACAGTACTTTTGCCTAGTTAATTGAGTTGTGCTAGTTTGAACTTTGAACAGAGCTATGGAGAGGAGTCATTACCTGGGTTTCACCACAATCGATTGGAGAAAACTTTATCGGCAAATTCTGATGGGTATGGGCTAGATGTAGGAGACGAGGATGGAGCCGATCCGTCTGACACTAAAAAGGATATTTCGCCTTCCTGGAAGGGGTTTCCTTCTGGTTTGTTTGGCAGAGAACCCCATGTCTGTCTGTCTGAAGATCATAAGTCTGTAAAAAGTTCTTGCACGAACCACATTACTGCCCTTACATCCCCTGGAGCTGATTTTTTGAAGTCGAGCAGGAGTACCGGTTCCAGTGATTTCAAATCCGTCACAACCTGCAATAGATGCAAGCCTGCGGTTATTACCACTGGAAGTGATAATGGATCCAAACTCATCAAGAATTCTAATCTCGTAGTGCCTCTATCGGATTCTCACTTGACAGTTCAGTCACAACCAAGGAGTAAAGGAGCTATCCTCTCATGGCTCTTTCCTCGGTTAAGAAAGAAGCACAAGAATGAGACGTCCCTAAACCGAACAGAATCTGAACAAGTATCTCAGATTTTCAAGGGCTTGGGAATCATGTCGCTCGAATCATTGAAGAAAGAACTGATGGAAGCTAACGAGCATAGAGATGCAGCTTTAATGGAGGTATCAGAGATGAAATCTTCCTTGGGGGGTCTGAAACACAAGCTGGAGTACCTTGAGGCCTACTGCGAAGAGCTGAAGAAAGCTCTGAAACAAGCAATGCTGGGAAAAGATGCTCAAGTCCCTGAAAAGTCCATTAATTTGCTGAAAAGAGGGAAATCAATTGATGGAAATGGTGATAACCTAATGCCTGTTAGCCATGAAGTAATGGTGGAGGGTTTTTTGCAAATTGTATCTGAAGCAAGATTATCAGTGAAACAGTTCTGCAAGATTCTTGTTGAGCAGATTCAAGAAACAGACAACAATTTGATGGAGAACCTAAATTTGCTTCTCCAACCACACAAGCTGACTTTTAACTCAAAGTATTCAAAGGCAGTATTGTACCATTTAGAAGCACTCATAAACCAGTCTCTCTTTCAGGATTTCGAGAACTGCATATTCCAGAAGAATGGTTCACCCAAAATCTTAGATCCTAAGCAAGAACGCCAAGCTCAGTTCTCATCATTTGTTGCACTGAGAAACCTAAGTTGGAATGAAGTTCTACGCAAGGGAACCAAGTATTACAGTAAAGAATTCAGTAGGTTCTGCGATCAGAAGATGAGTTGCATCATTTCCACACTGAATTGGACTAGACCATGGTCTGAACAGCTACTCCAATCATTCTTTGTAAGTGCCAAGTGCATTTGGTTACTCCATCTGCTTGCATTCTCATTCAATCCCCCAATAGCAATCTTGAGAGTTGAAGAGAATAGATGCTTTGATGCCCTATACATGGAGGATATATTTGTAGAACAACAGAGATCACAAACTCCAACTAGAGTTAAGATCATGGTGATGCCAGGATTTTATGTTCAAGATAGAGTGCTTAGGTGTAAGGTTCTCTGTAAGTATAAGGCCATTCGCTAATTTGCAATTCATTTCTGTGCCATTTTTGCTCTTCCTCCATGGGACTAACCAAAAGGGTGTATCATTTTTTCAGTTGTTCATGAGCAGTTTCAATCAAATGTATAAGTTTGTATGTTTTGAATTTTAAGTTAATAAATGCTTGAAAGAGAGCTTCTTTTTATTTCAATTTGAGGGAAGTTAGGTGAAAATTTGAAGCCCCATACATTTCAATGGTTGGTAATGCAGATTAGTGTTTCCCTTCTTGTTTTTGTGGGATTACATCAGCCTGGATGTTCAGATTTGCCTCTTCAATTCATCAACCCCAATGACTGATTGGCTTCACATTGGGTTAGTACTTGGTACAACTGTATCCATTTGATCCATCTAGTTATTTGTGCAACATGTGTGTTTGATTACCTCAAGCTCAAAGTTCATGTGCAACATTCTTACGTTAAGACTGAACATGGTTTAGCATCAGAACTGTCCTAACTGCAGATCATTCATTTTATTCAGACAGAATCTTGATCATGATTTGATTATCCAATCCAGTTGATGTTCAACAAAGTACTGCTCTCAGAGTTCAGAACAATCAGTTTTGGAACTGATTCCTTCCAAGCTGCAGTATAGGTTATAGCTAGTCACACTAGGCTGGACACTTTGAGCCTGAGCTGGTCAGGGACAATGGGGTACGTAGTCTAAGACTGGTGGACACAAGCTCGACGACCCGTAAGGTTGTTAATTTCAAAATGGGTATGCAGACATTACATTGGACATACCTGGGAGGGGGTTGGTTGGGGCACAGATGCATGACTTGGGCCAATTCTGTAGGTGGGTCAGATCTGTTTCTTCAAATGAAACTTGTCGAGCCCGATAAATTGTAGTGACATCTTTTAGAAAGGCTTTAATTGATGGTTTCATCCGACCAAATTTCTCCAACAACGTGAGAGCAATCAGGTAGTGGGTGCTTTTGCCAACATGAGATGTAAGCTTCGGGACGTTATAATATTTCATCATAAAAACGATAATTTAGAGAAGGTTCTTCCTTTTGTACTCAAAATTTATAAAAATCAGTATAGCTGTAAAGGAGTAGAGGCTCTCAGCTCTCCTCTCCCACACTCATCACTCACCGCTCACCAAAGGCAACAGGGGTAAAGCGGTGGACGTGTGGGTCTTGCATATGCACAGAGTGGTGGCCCATTCAGACAGGACATGGGCCGCAGTGAATTCATGGAAATTGGAAACCGGTGTCCGACTTGATTGATGCGCTCTATTCAGCCTCTGGCGTTGGTCTCCAGAATGATATTGTGAATCTTCAGTCTTGCATTCTTCCTGTAAGTTCAAGTTCAAGTCTGTGGATATTAATTATCGGGGTTTCTGGGTGTTTCTGAAACAAGAGATGGGTTAAGAGTAAAACACCATTGTTTCCTCAGAAAATCTTGGGGTTGTTTTATTGTTGGTTTGAGTCAGTTCAGTTCGTGTTACAATGCTGCCATATCAGTGTCAGATAGTTGTTTTGAGTTCAATAATAAATTTTCTGTTTGGTTGGAGAAGTTTTGAGTTAAAATAGCGACAACACTTTCCATGAGAATCCATGCTTGAGGGTGTTTCAAGATATATCAATTTGATTGCTTTCTTGTTTTGAGAAGCAAATAACTATCGACAATGTTTAATTATTATGGGTTAAAAGGTTAAGTGTAAGAGACCATTGAGACTTGTTTTACCTGATAGGCTATATCCTACTTGATTCCATTGTCCTTGGGCCTTCATAGGATGGCTGGACTCGAKGATCATTTAATGTAAATATTTGGCCCATTAAAAACTCATACTGATGGATTCAAAGGTTCGCAATGCTTGACAGTGAATTCAGCCTGACCTTTTCACAGAGGCTAGGCCAAATCCATATAGGCTTATGTAGGGTCATTGTTGGGGTCCCACACCATACAAAGTGAACCAATTGGACCAGCAACTACCTAGGGACGTGAACAACTTGCTTAATGGGCCTAAAGCCCATGATTAATTAGATTAATCAAGTGGTCACATGACAACTTAAGCAGTCATGTGATTTGAACGAATATGGGTTTGGAGCACCCATTCTCATAAAAAAAATAACTCTTATCCTCTAATAGAATCTAAATCCAAATAAAAATTTGGATTACTAATCTCCTAATTTGATTAGGAATAGTGCTTCTTAAGAATTAAGAAAAGAGAGATCAATTCACTTCAAGATATAAACCGTGTTTCAAACTCATAACATTGTAGGTTGAAACACCAATGATACCAAAGACAACCCTAATCCAAGCAAAGTAATGTATTAAATAAACCTGAATTCTTGACCCAAAATGGATTCCTAATCTCAACCAACTATTCTCATTCATCTAAATGGTATAGAAAGACTTCAACTAATCTAGGCCACCCAAATAATGAATCAAATTAACCCAAAGGTCTACGCCATCAAAGTGGTTGGTCTCCTGACATCAGTAAATTAGTCTCAATTTACCAGGATTCTAACCAATCGAAATCCAGTTGGGATCACATTTAATATGCTTACTTATGTTGTGCCTACTAGATCCGGTCCCATCAAAACCACCTATATAATGTATCAAAGAGTCAAGGTGTTAATTAATCACACCATTCGAGTGATACAATAACAATAGAAATCCAATCCAAAATGATGCACCAAACAAATATAAAATCTACACCATCAAAATGGCCTCCTAAGTACTTACATTAATCAACTAAACAACCAGCTATCCAAATAATTTAGCAAGATTAAAACGGCCTCCAAAGATCTAAGTCATCAAAACGGCCTCCTATAGCAACAGATTAATTAGAATATATGACTTCTGCCTTTAACCAAAATCATGTATCGCCATTATCTCTAATTCATGGTTTTAAAAAATGACTCAGAAATGGAATTGTTTTGGTCACTAGTTTTCAGGTTAAATGGTCTAATTGTTCAGTCTGAATCTCAATCAGACAGCTTTGGGGTCCAAAACTAGATCTAGAGCCACGATCGGCTTCCAGATCAACTGATCCAACTGTTTAATTTGTTCTGGTTTTCAAAACCATACTCTATACCACCATTTCCACCACCCAATATGCTCTCATCATTAAAGTTATATACGTTGCCTCTTTCAATCTTAACATGTTAAACCATTAAAATGGCCCTTTTAGAGCAGTCAATATTAGAGGTGAGCAAATGGGTAGGTTCTACCTAGAACCAAATGGAACCAACCTCTAATTGGCTTTGAATTGATCATACCCATATTTGTTATAGGGTAGGTCTGGTTCCAAATTCTTGTACCAGCCTCCACCAAGGCTGGTTCCAAGGCCTAAGGGCTTACCCTACCTGAACCGACCCAATGAATTGGCCTTGCTTGGCCTTGGTGGAATCGGCCTTGGAACTGAATTTGCCTTGAAATAAACCCCAAAATACTTTTGAGGATGTGAAGATTTAAACTTAAACACTCATGGTTATAAAGGTCATGGTCTCACTTGACCTTTGAGTTAAGTGATTTGATCGTTTGTTTTCATTTTAATATTTAAATGTGTATAAAAAGTAATGTACAAGTTAATATTTACAAAATTTAAATTATAATGATATGTTTTGAACAGTACATTAATATATCATGATAATCTACATATTAAATTACACAATTTCATCAATAAAGATAATGCAAGTTTTAAACTATATATTATATTTATTAAAAGTCAAATTTTTATAAGATGTTGTTTCTTTTTTTTTTAAGCGGGGTAGTAAAATAAAGAACAGGTTCCACGGATAACCGCCAAAGCCATAATCAACCTTCACAGGGTAGGTTCCAGTTCCCAAAAAACCTAGAATTGACCCCTATAGAGTAAGTTCTAGGTTCTACCATGAAACCAAACCGAACTGACACATGTTCACCCCTGGTCAATATATCTCAGTTACTCATGTAAGTGAAGTATCAAAATTTCGGACACACTACATTCTTTACCACCATTGCCTCTAACACTATTACCTCCTCACTTTCCATGCCTTCGTGGAAGGTGATGCTGAAATATGTCATAGGTTCTTGCCTACTCGGTGCTTGTTTGGGATGGATAACTTTGGCTGTTGGGGTCCAACAGCATAGGCTGTTGAGAGAAGTTTTGGGCTGGGCACATTCATTTATTTATTCACGCCCATGTCTTTCTTTTTGATCAAATTAAAATGGGATGCAATTACTAATTTGCCCACTTTTATGGTAACGTGGCATTCCTAAAATCACTCTCAACAGTATTGGCTGTTGGTCCCCAATGGCCAAAATTTTTCCCGCGTTAATCCATTCATGCCCTTATTTGTATTTTTGATCAAAAGAAAAAAAAATAAAGAGAGAGACAATTACTCTTTTACCCCAAAAACGTTTTCAACAGGCTAGGCTGTTGGGGGCCAACAGCCAAAGTTTACACAGGCTTCTGGCTTTGCAAGGTGGGTCCACTTGGACAGCTTACAAGTTATATTTGATGAAAACCCCAGAGAGCCGAAAATGAAGGTTTTGGAAGCCATGTTCCACTGAAGCTTCTTTTAGTGGCTTCTCAAAAGCGATTTAAACAATACTTAATCCCTTCAAAATGGACATTCATTAGTATCTAGCTTTTAATTTTTCATTCTTTATATGATGTTTACAGGTAGATCTGTTCATGRGCCGGATTCAGGTTTGACTTTTGACAAAATTCTAATGCGCCCAGCCCGAACACCGAATCTAAAACAGAGCAAAATTGAACTGAAGCCTGGCCCATTAATAGGTCTACTCACAAGGTATTAGTATTAGAGATGGTGGCCCATTAATGGGGAAATTGCATGCACATATGTGGAGATTAAATTCGAAAGGACAAGACTGGGACAAGTTGCAATCCGTTCGAATGTTGCAATGCTACATTGCTACATTGCTACAATGCCATTGGATTGGGCCTGGCACGACAGTCACTATTCAAAACCTAATGAAGGCTGACGTAGCCAAACCAATTACAATTCCCACAGTGATTCTTGACCAAAAAATCATGCTCAATTTGAATGAAAACAGTGTAGCATTCGTAATCTCAACTGGGCTAACCCAATAGGGTTGTATTCGGGTTGATCTCAATTGGGCTAACCCAATAGGGTTGTATTCGGGTTGATCTCAATTGGGCTTCAGGTCAAGTTCCGATTTAGGCTGGCCCACACTA